GGGCTGAGCAAAAGTTACAGTATGTTGTTAAGGGCATTGTCCAAATGCCTCTTAAACACTGACAGGCTTGGGGCATCGACCACCTCTCCAGGAAGCCTGTCCCAGTGTTTGACCACCCTCTCGGTAAAGACGTGCTTCCTAATGTCCAGTCTAAACCTCTCCTGGTGCCGCTTTGAACCGTTCCCACATGTCCTGTCACTGGGTCCCGGGGAGAAGAGACCAGCAATGCTTTCAGTTAATTCCTGAAAAGTAGAATGAAATCCAAAAAGAGCGTAGTGGTAGTGAAGATTGTAGGTGATGCCTCTTACAAATTTGTGCATCGCACTCACACAGGTTAAACTAGAGCTTCAGGAGGCCGCTTGTAATGTACATAATCGCTTTCTCTTTTTTACTCTGTTTTAAATCCTGCCTGCATTATAACTTTTAAACTGCTAACTTGTGCATTCTGAGTGTTTGGCACTGAATACTAGTGTTTTGTTTATGTAACCTATTAGAAGTTCATGGTGCTCTAGGCAAAACACGTTGGTTTTCTAGCAGGTATTCGCAGGACAGAGCCCTCTAAAATATATTAGAGAATTATTAATCCCATCTGGCAGAAATAAAAAGAACACCCATTGTAATTTCCATAGGAAAAATGGGAAAGTGTCAAGTATTTTCTGTAAATTCTTGTGAAAGCCTTCAGTCTTTTCAAATTAAAATGAAGAAGATTTTAAAAGGGGAAAAATAGTTGCCTTTCTTTTGTGCCTTACAATGAGTACGGCCTGGATTTTGTTCTAAATTCCTCCTTGCGTAACATCAACGGGGGGATATATGTGACACGCTGAGGAGATACTTGTCGGCTACAGCGCAGTGATGAACGTTGGAGGGAACTTTAAAAAGGGCTCGTCGTTAAACATATATGCACAAAGAGGAGCTTTAAACAGAACTTCTCTAAAGCATAGTGGTGAATGAGGAAAGTGTTACAATTGAGGGGGTAGTGGTGAAGTTCACCTTTGGACATGAAGTTATGACTAGATTTTTGATGTTCTTTTATACAGGGGTGAGTTTTGCTGTTAGACATCACATACATTTAAAAAAAAAAAGCTGTATCACGTAACCTGCTGAGCTCATTTAATTTGATAAACTACAGGGATTTAACTTACAGGAGTCCCTAATATATACTCATATCTTGCGAAAGAAGTGAAGCCTTTGTGATAGGAAATCATATTCTGAAGCAGCATCTGTTAGATCTCATGGAAGGATATTATGGAAATCCAAGCGTTGTGATTAAAACCTGGCAAGCCAACAGTTTAGAAATTAATGGATTTGCGTGTATCGGATTGCTGCAAACCAGCAATTGGTTTTATCCCACCAAAAGAAAAAAGAATCAAGATTTCATGACGCTCTCTTCAGTACCAATGAAAACTGCAGGTTTAATACCTGCTTTCTGTACTAAAATCTCACGTCGCTTGCAAATGTCATAAATAAAACATGAGAGAAGTCGGAACAGTTACTTTCCTACTGGTTTACACCCACTTGATGGAATTCAGCTTTCTCTGCTCTGTGGCAAGAAGCTTAAAATGAAACAAAACTTTTGAGTATCTTATTTCTCTTTCTGTGCCCAAAGCTAAGGGAGAACAGACCTATTGCAAAGGCTTTTATGCAAAGTAAATATATTAGGTTTTTTATGGAGGGCACTCATCAACTTGCTTCACGCTCTCTGTGCTAGGGACACCTATGTAAACTAACTGTGCCATTGTCTGTCCGTCCACTAGAGACACAGCAGGACCAGGCCTACAAAGATGACAGTGACGCTGCAACTTTCAAGCAAACCCTCCCAGATCTCACCCCTGATGAGCCTTCAGAAGCACTCGGCTTCCCTCCCTTGGGAAAGGAGGAAGGGAGATGTGATGAAGATGTGCCCAAAAGCCAAACGGAATCACCTGCAGTGGAAAATAAGGAACCCCAGTCTCAAGCCGCTGAGGAGCCAGTGACACCAACAGCTGAGGAGGGGACAGCAGCTGATGCAGGTAGCGATGAATCTCCAGGGAAGTCCCCATCGAAAAAGAAAAAGAAGTTTCGCACTCCTTCCTTCCTGAAGAAGAGCAAAAAGAAGAGTGACTCCTAAAGGCCAAACACACTGCAGAAACACTGTCATATTTTAAAATTCATTAACCACTAGAATGTACCAGATCGTACCGAGTGTTTTGTCTAATTACATAAATGAATGCAGCGAGTAATCCAACCAGCCCCTCGAGTTACAGCTTGATCATTTAAGGGTATAACCAGAAACTAATGTCCAAAAAGGTGCTAATCCTGTGTCTTCAGGAGCTACCACAGATCTGATCCCCAATTTGTAATCAAATGTAAATGACTTCCGTGCGGAAGGCATTTAATCACTGTTTTTAATTTAAAGCCCGCACCGCTTTACAAAAGAATAGAAAAAATTTTCACAATTAAAAATAACACATGCACTGCTTACCACAAGAAGTGTTCTTTTCCAATAGCCTGTTCCAAGTCACAAGTAAATTTCGTCTCCGATACTGACTTTGAGAGAGGATGCTTTTGCGGTGGTGATTTCGAGGGGGATGTGTTCTTGAACTGACATGTAAACTTGTGCAAGCTTGTGATTTACAGATCATGTTTTAGTCAAGCTTTGAGGCTATCCATTCCTTCCTCTCCTTCTCCCCTCTGACTATTGTAACAACACAAAGGTGTTTTTCACTTTTGTTTTATTTTATAACTGGCACTTGAAATCATCTTTGACGTCGAGGACTGAAATACCTGTGGTGTGTTCCGCTCATGTTGTGTCTTGAAAGAGCCCAATCTTTTTTTTTTCTCTCTAGTGAATGCAGTTTAAGAGAAATCTGCCTTTCAGTCTTGCCTCCCTGAGAATCAGTCATATGGTAATTTGGCTGTTAGAAAAGGTTAAAAAGTAACGGTACTAAAAGTATTTCAGAAGTTTTTTGGCTGGTGGTGTGAAGCACGGGCACAGCTGTATTTTTGGGCCTTAGCACAGGGTCTTTTCACCCTCTTGAAAATCCCTCGGGTGCACGTGCAAACCTGTTGCACATAAACCCTATTTGCGGCCTCTCGTGTTTCTTCCTTCCCATGATAAAAATGTAAATGCATTACACTGACTATTTAACCTTTTTTTATATTAATTATTTTCACTTACAAAAACTGGCATTTCTTTAATTTTTTTGTTATTGTTGCCAGCAGTAAAGTACAGAAATCCCAAGTAACCTTAAAGGTGTATTTTCACATAAGTTTGCTATAAATGTTTGTTTAACGTGTAGCATGGTAAAGAAAATCACTTTCACCGCTGAATTCACTATTTTCCGGTTGTTGCCGTGCTTCTGTCTATCACTAATCATAAAAGTAGTTTAAGATCAGATAGGTAAAGCTCACAAGAATTCTCCAGAAACCGTGGGCGATTACCCCAGCCGAAAGCGGGGAAGGTTGGTAACCCTTTCTGGTTTCTAGTATTAACACCAGAAATGTTAACAGCAGAAACCATCGACGCCCCTGTGGGGGAGAGGGAAATGCGTTGACTCACAGGAAGTGTCTTAATCATAAAAGTAGTTTAAGATCAGATAGGTAAAGCTCACAAGAATTCTCCAGAAACCGTGGGCGATTACCCCAGCCGAAAGCGGGGAAGGTTGGTAACCCTTTCTGGTTTCTAGTATTAACACCAGAAATGTTAACAGCAGAAACCATCGACGCCCCCGTGGGGGAGAGGGAAACGCGTTGACTCACAGGAAGTGTCTGTAACAAAACAGAATACGGATGTAACCTTTTAGGACAATACTGAACATTGCAGTTGGTAAAACAGCAGAGAACTAATGCCTTACATTCACGCAGCAGAAAGCATCGAGTTGGGGTGGGTTGAGCAGTTGGAGGCAGCTATGGGTGAACAGGGCCTAGGTTAGGCCGGTGTCGGGCAGGGAAGGGGAAAGAGCTGACAGGAGCGTTAGGGCTGTAAGGCGTCGGATGAGAAAAGAGGTTTCGAGATGGTAACCGACGATACCGTGATTGCAGGATGGGTAGAGGTAGGGTGGAACAGGAGCAGCGGTCAGTGGCTGCGCGGGAGAGCGCCCTGAACAGCAGTGTTTAGCCAGGGCTGCATGGCACGAACGGCTTTCAGCTTGTACTCTAACCTTGTATGTCCTCTGTACACTAGGAAGCATACAATACTTATTTTGCTAAATTGTGTTTTATTGCAGGGTCGTAATTAAATGACTAATTGCTATACGTTTCAGTTCTTTAATGGAGTCCCTCCATTTATCTTGACCACATATGCAATGACTCTTAATTTCTAATTTTGTAGTTTGTTCTTTTAATTCTTTGTATTACGATATGGAATGTAGTCATGTATGGTATGGTTACACACTTTGGGGCAGAATAAAGTCCTGTATTTTTCTTTCTTTCTTGTATCATTAAGTTCTACTCACAAATAAAACTCTTTAAAAAAAAAAAAGTCATGCTCTGCTTTCAAAGCTCGTACAGTTTTATTCTACAGCTGTAGCCTGTTGAATTTAATTCACTCAATTTTCTTTTTTAATGATTGTGTTGATTAATGATTGCTTTAATGTATTCTCAGAAAATACTCAAATTAGGCACTGTAGGGCTTCCTTCGCAGAGTCCCAGCTGTGCAGTAGGCAGAACCTGGTGGAGGAGGGCTCCTCCCCAACCTGTCTTGCCACCCTTCACAAATAAAACTCTTTAAAAAAAAAAAAGTCATGCTCTGCTTTCAAAGCTCGTACAGTTTTATTCTACAGCTGTAGCCTGTTGAATTTAATTCACTCAATTTTCTTTTTTAATGATTGTGTTGATTAATGATTGCTTTAATGTATTCTCAGAAAATACTCAAATTAGGCACTGTAGGGCTTCCTTCGCGGGCAGCTCTGTCCTTAGTGGCTGGCTCCCTCCAGGGAGGGAGCTTTGGTGCTTTGGTGCTGGGGGTGGAGTTCTGGTTTGGATGGGTGTAACATCTTCACGGTAATGAGCTGACTACGTGAGTGGACAATGTAATAGTTTATTTGTAATACAAAAAGAACAGTATTACAAAACATCCCACAGTATTAGAAATATAAAACATCTCAAAATTTAATTGTACATCAAAAACAGTCCACCTGTGCCAAAGTATCAGCCAGGCTCAGGAAGCCTGTAGTATGCTTCTCGCTTTTGGTTTCCATCGTCATGTTTTAAGGCGGTTAAATACAGCTGCTACCAGGTCCACTGAGCATTTGTGGAGAGCCAGTGACAATTGTACAGAAACTCCCCGGTAGAGGCTTTGTTCTCTGCTAGCCAAAACCAGACAAAACAGGCCTCGTCGCAGGGGCTTCGGGCAGTGGCTTTGGTCTGGCTTGTGCTGATCATGAAGGGTGAGGAGCAGAGAAGAGCTCTGTGTATGCCACAGCACGGTGTTCAACAGCACTTGGTGGTGAACTGGGGTCGCGCTGTGCTGTGCTGCTGTCATGCCCATCTCTGCTTGTCTGAAGATCTTAATGCTTTACTCAACTGGTTTGTGGGTTGGTTTTTTTTTTTTTAATTTGCAAAACTAGCCCCCCTGGCTGGCAGGCTGTCTTAAACATAACTGCTTGCAGAGGGCCGGAAGAAACCTGAAGTCTGTTGTTGCTGCAAATGGTTGTGGCGTATCCCCTTCCAGAAGATCAAAAATCCTCCTCTTCCCATTTGATCCACAGAGTCAGGTGCCAAGAGTCAGGTCTTGTAGAGGTCCTTGGAAGCTGGTGGTAGTTCGGTGGTTACTTCCTACTCCTCCTTTGTCTGCTGTTTTATAGAACCAAGTAAGACGAAGGGGATGAGGAACAAAGCTCCACAGACAGTGAAGCAAACCTCTGCCCCTGCCAGCCAGTAAACTGCAAAGGAAACAAGATTTAGCTCGTTAGTATGCTTGTCCTGGCTGCTGTGCAAACTGGCCTTCAAAGCTGCTGCTCTTGACAATTTAGCAGTACAAGTGGAGAACACAGAACTACTGCATCGTTCACTGCACATCCTTCCTGGCACACAAGTTACAAAGAGGAGGTGGCTAATGGCAGTGTTGGTTCTCTTCCAGGGAAACAGCATGTTAAAAGTGGTTATTTTAAATAGGATATTTTCATTCTCGCCAGTACAGCAATGGGGAAGTTCCTATCCGCTCATTCAGCTTTACAAGGCAACTGTTTAATTCTCTGCCCCTAGCACCTCCTCCACGGCTGCTCCTGGTGCTGTCTGGGCTGCTCTCGAAGGGCTCTCACTGTTGGTGTTGGTCTCCTTATGTGAAACACTTGTGAATCCTGCTGAGGTGGGAGGGCAAGGGCAGGACTTGTGCTGCGGTTTGCTGTTTGGTTTTGCAGAAAAGTCCAAAGTCTGGCTCTTCCTTTCAGAAAGCGGCTGTATGGAGTGCTAGCTGCGGTACAGGGAGTGGTTTGGTGAGCCGGAGCGAGCCAGTTGCTTGGCATATGGATGCCAAGGTTCTGGAAACAGGTTTCTGCCAGGAAACAGGTTTTGGCTTTGCTCAAACTTCTTAACATTAGGTCTGAGTTCAAGCTCTGACTTGCTGCGTGGCTGCTTCCCCTTACTCTGTCCCTTTACTCTATAACAGCTTGGGAGAACTGAACCCTGTAGCGGGGTACCTGTGCTCCTTGGCCACAGGCTAGGTTTGGCCTTAGCCAGGGCCACCAGGCACTGCACACTCCCTGAGCTCCGGGGCATTAGTAGAGCGTGGATTCTTTAATCTGGTTTATAAGTTACCGATGCTTTTAATGCTGAAAAGTTCTTTATTACGCATTATGGACTGTCCCTACTTAATTTGTATCATCTTGGGATACAGTTTCATGAGATACGGGGAACCAGTTACCACAGCACAGGAGACCTTGATTTCACTGCCTCCTGCTTACCCAGTGCCAGGGTGACCCCTCAGCAGGTGGGGTTACTTGCTAAAATGGCTACAACTCAGCCCAGCAAAGGCAAGGGTTCCTGGTCAGCCTCTGGCTCCCTCTGCATGCTGGGGCCAGGCCAGCTGTGCCTGCACAGCTACACACGGGGCTGGGTTAGTTTGATGATACCATTGCAGGAATTTTTAAAGAGTCAGGCAATACCTGCTGTCTAGTTTATCTCTGCTTGTATGAACATTTTAAACTCATCCACGATGCTTTCGTTGGTGCTAACAAGGACCGTGTCCTGTCCCTGGCACAGCTCTTGGGGGTATCTACTTCTGCAAAGATAACTTTACAGCTCCAAAACGTGCAGCACTTCCCTTCCTTTTACCTTCAGACCCACCCAGGCTGTGGGGGCCCAGCGCGACGCTGTATGTTGGCAAAGGCAGGAAGGAGCATGGGGCCACACTCACCTGTAGCTGACAGGATCGGTCCCAGGGCTCTGGCAAGGGCGCCCAGGCTCCTCAGGATCCCCATGACTCGTCCTTTCTGGCTGGCAGAGCCTGTGCAAGCAGAGAGCCATTACTCAATGTGGAGGTTTCACTTGGGGCAGGGCAAGCGTGCAGGGCAGGGCACTGCTGTAGCTCTTGGTGCCTTGTTCTTCTGGAGGTGGTATTATTTCCCACATGCATCTCCCCCTCCTTTCATTTCACATTCACTGCTCAAGCTGCATTTATTTCCCCTCCACCAAGATAAACATGACTGCTTCGTTGAAAAAACACCAAGGCTTGACAACCCCTCCACCAAGATAAACATGACTGCTTCACTGAAAAAACACCAAGGTGAGTGCTTGTCCATGGACAACTTGTAGTGCACCCCAAAAAAACCAACAAAAGCGCTTTACATTGTACACAAGATTTGCTGAGGTGGCCCAGGTGTATAATAAATACAGGAGCATGGATGCAAGTTAAATAAGAGCAACATAAAAGTGACATTAATGAGCAAAGCCTTACTTTTTTGCCTCAGCAAGCACTGTAGTGCTGGCAACCAACTGAACCACTGCTAAAGAACGAACGAACTGCATCATCCAGAGATGGCAACACAGCTACATCTGCTTTACAAGGTTACATAGCAACCAGTGCCACAAGTCCAGAAGGTTTTAGAAGGTTCCTTAAAAGGTCTTTTCTAAGGAATCAGGAAGAAATGATTTTACTGCTGACGGCGATGGCTGGTGTCTCTTTCAGAGAGCCCAGGCCATCCCCAGCTCCGTGCTGTTTGTGGCCTTTGTCCACAATATTTATTCTTTGCCCGCTGTTCCCTATCTTTTTAATAAGAACCAGAAATAAGGTTGTTTCCAGTTCCCCATCACGTTGGAAGAAGCTGCGTTACACAGTACAAAACTGAAGAGCGATACTGATGGTCACTCTGAACGGATCATTGCTGTTTGTTAGCTCTGAAACTATCCGTTATGGAGTGCTGACGGTTTTCAGAAACAGGTACAAGTCAGTTTGGGGGTTTCCTCTGCTCCCTTGCGGGATGTTTCTGCATTTCCCGGGGTCAGGGTATTGTCTTCGTATCCCCAGCAGCCCCACTCAGCTTCCCTTCTGTGAAGGACGTTCATAGAAAGGAAGGGGCTGAAGGCTGTAGCACCTCCAGCGTAACGCAGCTGGTTTGCCTCTCCCCGGCAAAGCACAGTGCGATCAGAGGGTAACTACAGTCACGGATCGCTGGCTATAGTGGAAAGGGGCAGCGTACAAGTGACCGGGAAGGGCTCTTTTCCAGGCTTTAGCCTCACTCCTGCAAGGGTGGTTATCGCTTCAGGGTTACCTACGTACAACGCGGAGCAGCAGTTTGCTGTAACACTTCTAGCATTTCTGCTTTCCTTGTTAATGCATTTGGGGGGAAAGAGGCCTTTTATAAAGCCAAGCAGCAGCCAGAGTCACCGGTCCAGCATTCAGATGTGAGGTGGACCTACACCACAAGCATTCCTGTTGACGCATCACTAAACTTGAGGTCAATTCTGTATTTGAGCCAAGCCTATACAAAGGTCAATTATGTGGCCAAGGGCTGCCGCTCAAAGCAGGAAAGACACTCACCATAGCCTGACACCACTGCTGACAAACACGGGATAACAATGGCCGCAGCTGGAAAAATCCACAAAAGAGAGTGTCAATGAACAGCAGAGCGCTCAAAACAGTTACAAGAGCAATAGTGAAAAACATGTGGCGCAAACTCGTTACTACTGCAGAGAAATATGCTGAGCTCTGGGGCACTGTACCAACAATGAATCATCAGGTTTAATCCAGTTCAATAATGAAAACACCCCCTCAAAGCCAACCTGCACGAAGAGCCCAGAGCCATGAGTGCTCTGAGCAGATGTTTCACATTAGCGTCTCTCACTCTGTGAGCCCACGGGAAAGGGGTGGATAGGTCAGATCAGCTAACTGCTAGTTTTCCAAATCCCTGTGTTCTTGTCAGGTGGAGCCGGGAAAGGGAATCGCTCGCATTTCAAACGGACAATGAGGTGGCTGTACACAGAATCACACTGTCCCCACGCATACGGCTTTACCGTACTCATGGATGAAAAGGGCAGCTACGTTCTGTCTTGGGAAATAAGACAGTCAAGTCCAAGAAAAAGAGGTTACAAAATTTTTGGACACAAAAGCCAAGAGCTGTTCAGCAATCACTGCCCTCTTTCTTACTGAAATAGGGAACTTTTCTGCCAAGAAGGAAGTGCTTTAAGCATACAAAGCAGAATCTTTTCTGGGAAGAAAAGGACAATTGGAGAACAGGAATGATCGACATGTTGCCTTAGCTGCAGGCGCCCTAACTCCTGAGGCAGAGGGAGGAAGAGAGGGAAGAGAGGCCCCTCTAGAGGCATTTCTAGCTGTCTAACCGGGGAAGAGATGGGGTCTTCTGCCCAGGTATGGAGCCTAGGAAGATGAGGCTCCTCACTTTGAAGCACAGTTAGACAAAATGAATACCTCCTCTCATCCCTCCTCACCAAGTGGGCTTTCAAAAGCAAGTTAATCTGTAGATAAGATGTAGATTTTGAAACTTGCCAAACACACAGCTGTCCCTAGACAAGCAACCTACTAAACAGATGCATTTTATGGTTTACAGTTTACTCTTAAATCAAGCTGTATCATGCGAAAGAGAAGGCTCCTACTTTTGTATTTAGTCATATTTGAAGCTTCTTAACAATAGTTAGCAGCATTGGGAATATCTGAAATCTCTTTTCAGATAGACACTTCAGTAGATGAATCCAATTTCATTCATGATTGTTTCCCTGAATAACAGCTTAAATTGGCAGAATATTATTTATGTAAACACTTAAGCATCTTTGAAAACCATCTCCACTTATCAAAAACAATAGGTGGAGTTTTGCTCCCTCCCTGAGCTAGCAGCTTACAATGCAAGGGAGCAGAGCGGTGTTCAGCCCGCACAGCCCCATGCCACAACGTTCAGGGCAACACTGATTTACCCTCACTCTCGTTCAGCCTGAACGCACACTCCAGCCTTCAGCTTCGGAGGGCGCAGGTCTCTTCAGCCTGTCGCCTAAGAAATAATGCAGCCACCACAGAAATGCAAAGTCATGCTGTCTCCCTTCTTTTCCTGAGCTGGGCTATTTAGTGAATATTTTGCTTCTAGGTCTGATGAGAGGGGGATAAAACCACCCTCAAGAGCTCCCCAGTGAGACAGGACAACAGGAGCACTGGGGATGCTTCCAAATACCACCGTGGCAACTTCCTGTGACACAAACAGCATCAGAAAAAAACAGACACTATTTCTTCCATATTTTATAAATGGAAACGTCAGCTTTCTGTTACTCATAGTTTGAAGTTAGAAGTGCATCTTTTTTAACAGGATGAATAAATATATGAAGAAAAGTTATTTGTGCTTAGCTTTCAGTGCATTTTGAATAGCTCACCGAAAGAGTACAGCAACAGTCCAACACTCAGCATGGTCACATTTGCAGCCCATCCAATTAACAAGAAAGCTGGAATCAGCAACATAATAGCCTGCAAAATGAATGAGTCACACAGTTACATTTAAGCACTGCTTGTTAAAGCCTAACTAGGTGTCCTGCCAGTTCTCTTCCGCTGATGGGACTACATTTAAGTTAGAAGCAGAAAGCCCTTTCTTCCCAAGTAGGCATTTCAAGTTCACGTGGATGGCCACACATCAGCGCAATTTACTTTTCTGTTCTCACACTGTCACACGATTGCAGACCACATGCAGGCTGGAGTCACCTGTAACACAGGCTGTAGTTATCCCACCACCCATTTCCTACAGCTGAGGAAAAGCTGATTTTTGCAGTTCTCTCTCTCGCACGATCTACTAGGTTTTGGTGGTTTTTTTTCTCTTGTTCTATGTTGAACTGGACAGAAATCTAGCTTTAACTCTTTACCTCCTGAGCTGGCACAAGAGGTCAAAAAGCTTGTGTGCAACAGGACTACAGCTCCTCTGCTTGCTCTCAGCAGTATTGGCTGATTTTAAGGGCTACATCAAACCCTCTTGAGCTTTTGGAATCCATACTTCTGGAGCCAAGAAGAAAAAATCTGGGGGGGAGGGAGTAGCATCTGAAATTCAAACCCAAAAAGAAAAAGCATTCTTCATCTCCTCCAAGAGCCTGGATTTCAGTTCCCCTGTGATCTCTCCCTCACATACAGAGCTTTTGCAGAAATGACAGATCAGTTAAGATCTGCCGGGCGTTTCACAAAAGAGGGTATTCACTCCCACCAAATGTCTCATTTTGAAGATTCAGTTATAAATGAGCTACTGTAATCACTGCGCTAAGAGAGGCCACATTTGCCACGTGATCCAGATTCACAAACAAATTGTCAGAATAACTTCAGCAAAAGGGAAAACTCCCACAAAAGCCACTCAAGCCACATACATCCACAGAAAGAGTGCCCCAGGGCCAGCGGGTTTCTGCATAGTGCACACGGGTGTTTATGAGAAGCAATCAGCCCAGACCAACTAAACTATTTCGAGGTAACTACACTTCTCAGTGCAGGGAAGAGGAAGGAGTACAAAAATTAGTGGGGCAAACCACAGTTTGCATAAACTGCAGCGTAGTGACAGCAAACACAGCAGGCTGGCAGAGCACACGGAGGAAGCTGATGCAGAGGATAACTGTATGATATTCGGTATGATAACTGTATGATAACTGTATGAGATTCAACAAGGCCAAGTGCCGGGTCCTGCAGTTGGGCCACAACAACCCCATGCAGCGCTACAGGCTTGGGGAAGAGTGGCTGGAAAGCTGCCTGGCGGAAAAGTGGACGGTTGGACTCGATGATCTTAGAGGTCTTTTCCAACCTTAATGATTCTATGATAACGTGGCACTAACACAGCAGCATGAGTTTTCTTTTACAGGGAAGTGCTTCCTATGTGACACAACAAACGTGCCATTAATGTTTGCCTGCCAGGGAGCAGGGTGAAGATGGTTTCACCAGCAGAAATAACTTTAAGATTAAAGCTGAGTCTATTCACTGGAATGCAGTGCAGTTTGGTAATCTTTTCTACCCTGCCACTGTTGAAATCACACTGGCCTCAAAATAATGTACAATAAGTTGATGGAGTCTTTAACAGTCCGAGCATACCTATTACCAAGCAGCCAACAAAAGTTCAGAAACACTCAAAACCCGCTTTGTTTAGTTCCACGCCCAAACGTAAATGACAACATATCTACTTGTCCCACAGCTGTATAAGCTGCAGGGAACTGTTCCCTGTCATCCCAGTACAGCAGCAGCAGCATCTCTATGAAGAAAGATTAAGAGAGGCAAGCAAAACAAAGAAATGCATGCTTTTGTCAGTGAAACTTCTGTCTGAATGTTTGTACATGCTATTGTTACACGTCATACTGATGATCACAAATCAAAGATTGCAGGAAGAATCTATTTCCCCCTGCCCACCAGTGAAATATACGCTAGGGAAAGCCTGTCAAGCACAGGGATGGCCAGACTGATGATGTCCCTGAAAATACTTTGCCAGAAAGACAGGCAGAGATCAGCTCTGAAGCAGCTTTAATAGTTTCAACGTCTGCACTGCAAGACGTTCTGCACTGAAACAAAGCATAACCTTCACAGCATTTTACCTAGCTTGCACAGGCAGACACTCTGTTCTCATTCCCTACTGCAGTTATATATGAAGAACTCAAAGTTTCAATAATATCGTAGCTGATATGGTAAGAAATGGCTCTGATGTTCCAAAGTTTAGTTAGACTGGTAGGTACCCAACAACCAGGGTCTTGAGAAGTCATTAGCTGGATTAATGAGACAGAAATTTCTTTTGATTTGACAAGTACAGTTATAGCCTCCAACTACTTTTCGTTGCACTTTAGATTGAAAATTAACATATCAGATTTGTGGGGGAAAAGAAAAAGAAAAAAGTATTTTTATTTTTTTTTTTACCCTTTTTCCAGCTCTGATTTCATTTCCTGGCTTGATTCGGCGAGCATAGCCTCCCTGGATCACAGCCATTGTTATTCCAATAAAGAAAAACATCTTGCCCTGCTGCATGCTAGAAGGGAGGCAAAAAACACAGATTATGGTGTCACGCACAGAGCATTCCACCCTGGGATTCACAGGTTCAGTGTAGACCCTTTCCTGAACCAGAGAGAGAAAATGCTTTTTGGTGCTCGCATGAGCAGTGCAAAGTTCTTAATATGCTGACATTAGTTTTCATGACAGGCAGACAGCAAGAAGACAAACCTCTGAGGTCTTACGTAGAGATGGGACGGCTGCTGGCAAGTGCTGCAATCATCTCTAGACTGCTATGATGTAGTTTAGTTGTTTCTAGGGTGGCCCACATTAATTACCCTGTGCCATGGAAGTCTGTGCCATATGCATGGGAGTTGTTGGTTTCCAAGGAACAAGCGTTTTCTTTCTCAGAACCATTGCCACCACTCACACAGAGTTTGATTAAGGTCACCAAGGCACAACACGGGCATTGGCATGGTGGTGATCATGTACTGCACTGGGAAGCTTGCAACATCACTCCCTCCACCCTTAAATATTTCTTCAAATTCCCGTTTCACCTCTCTTATCTACTAAACTATGTGGATATTCTCAACTAAAAGTTCTCACCTCCATAACAAGCTTGTTTGTCACATAGCCTGTACTGTCGGCATAAAGTTGTGTATCTCACTACATGGCTATCCTGAAAGGACTGTGCAGAAGCAAGCTTAATACGCTAGAAAACCTTTCCTTGACGCACACACATTAGTTAAGCCACAAACTGTAATGAAAGACAGACAGGGAAAGATGAGACAAACCCCTGAGAATTACTCAAAGGGAAGGACACACATAAGGAATCAAGCTGCAGGATCATCTTCCTGGCTGGAAATCTTCCTATGAGCTGGCAGGAAAAGTATTTCAAGCTGAGCTGCTGTTAGTGGATTCTGTTCTCTTTCTTCTCTAGTGTTTGACTAAAGGAAATCAAACTCTATGATGTAACGACTGTACATCGTATGCAATGCATAACTCTGACGAGCAAATATAATCACATAGCTATCCCTTCATCCTTTGCCTTTTTTGAGCGTCAAGATTTGTCCTGATACTGAAGAACTCTTCTGGGCTAGAAGAGAAAAGGATTGATTATAATCAGTACAACTAGCCCAGCTATACGTATTTCAGGAGCTTTAATTTAATCTTGCGTATTGATTTTCTTTAGTTATTAGAAGTTGTAGATTCAATGAGTATTTCCTTTCATGATAAACAGCGTGCCTGTATTTTCATAAATTCTTCCCACAAAGCCCCAGTATCACTGAACGCAGCCTCTCTTGAAAATAATTGAAGAGACCTTAAATCAAGATTTTGGAAAATATGCTAGACAAAATATACAACATTTATCTTCTAAGTGTGCTATACCTGCTGAACTGGAATCTCTGGTGAGTGAGAAAACTCAGTGTATACTCCAAGCCCGAAAACAGGAAGAGGTACAGGAAATAAGCCAGGCCCAAGATTTTGAGGGGAGAGAAATACGGTGGTGTTTTGCAAGCATAGCTTGAGAATATAACAACAATATTAGAGCAACATTTATCAACTGTACAAGGAAAAGTTCTCACTTCAGATACTCATTTTAAATACCCATACAAGACATGCCACAAAATGACTTCTGCCCACTACCTCCCTTCTTATGAGGGGAGCAGAGCCAAAAAGAGAAATCTCTCTCTGGGTCACCCTGGTCTCATTCACCCAATCCAGCCCCTCTGCCTCACACTGGCACCCTCACCTATACTGGGATTTATTTCTTTATTTGTAATCAATACCTGAATTCCACCTAATACCTTGATGCCGCTCTCAGGATGATATTGGCTAAAGCACAGCACCCCTTTTTCGAAGCTACAAATGGTCTGTGACAGATTACCTCACTTGTTTTTCTGCCAATGCAGGGTTTAACAGGTTTTCTCCAAAGTGGCAAATATTCCTCTGTTCCTGATGCAGCAGCAAGGAGGACTGAATGGTAAGTTGGTGTACCTGCCAAACACTGACTTATTTTCTACGGCTTAAATAATTTCATATAAATGGCCAGCTCAAATCCTACATCTCCAAGTCCTGATTTGAGAAATAAAATTCCAGTCTGAAGTTTCCTGGTTTGCAGCTTGGATAAGTAAACTCACATCTCCCTCACTCATGCCTTGATCTATCTTTTTAAATCACTTCACTTACTGCAGCCTACCCCACGCTGCAGCCAGTGCCTGAAGAAGCAGCAAGTAGCAAGTCAGAAATCTTCAAAACACTAATCTCCAAAACCTTCTTTTGGGAATAACAGGACTAGCATCCAAGGAAACTTGCAATTCCCTGTTCATACGTTAGTAAGGTGGGTTTTAAATGAGTGAACAGAGTGCTGCTTCTGAAATGGTTTGAGTACAGTTTTCACTTAGAAACCACCACCATATACAAAAAGACATACAATATTAATATAAAAAGCCAGCTAACACTTACTCTCCTCTGAAGGGGATTCCTTTCCTCGGGTGACTGCAGAGAACTGAAATAAAGCCAAAGGACTGAGCAAGTCAACTGCTGCCTGAAATCCAGATGTCACAGAAGAGACCTGATCAGAGAAAGAGAGGTTTATTTAAAAACCTGATGTAGTAACTACTGCAGGGAATTGACAGTAAGAGTCAAATGTGCTTCTACACCTACACAAATTATCTGAGATGAAACAGGGCAACTGGCATTGGTGTTTGAGTGACCCCCAATAACATCCCAGACTTTTCGATCACAGAACTGGCTCCAGCACTACAACTAGAAGGTAGAGCACCGATAGCAGCTTTCACTGAAGACAGAAAACAGATTCTTCCCTGGGTTCTTAAAAAGCAGAAGAGGCTCATTCTCTACAGCCTTGAAGGTGGATTTATTTGGTTCACTTTTTGCATCGTCCCTCATGTCCAATGAACATTTACTAGGAAAATAATGGCACATCTGCCTGCAAGCTCCTGGGAAGCTGGGGATTTGCTTGTGTGCTACGGGTCTGAGAACAGTATGTGTAGCACGGGTCTGAGAACAGTATGTGTAGCACATCAAACAACGGTCTGTTTTGGTACTGGTTGTTCTTTTAGCCAGCCAGTGACACCTCCTGGGGAAGAAAAAGAAAATATAATCTTTAGAGAGATTCCTTGGAGAGATTTTAGAGAGATTTCTAGAGACATTCTGCCCAGCCACACTGTGTGACTTTTTGAAGAGGAAAATTTATTTTGTAGCACTTCTGGTCCTTGTACTCTGTACATCTCAACCTAATTACGCATCTAGTGGCACTCTCCCTGCTCCTTATCAACAGGAACTTAGGAGATGCTTATTCTTTCATCTATAGGGAATTTAATTTTTTAATTTGTTTATTTTTTATTTTAAGGTATAGAAAATTAAAGACAATACTAAAGAAGAAATAATGTCTAAATTCTTAAGGAAACAATTCCTTTTAAAGTAGGAGAATTTAGACTGCACTTTACATATTTGTTTATTTTTTATTTTAAGGTATAGAAAATTAAAGACAATACTAAAGAAGAAATAATGTCTAAATTCTTAAGGAAACAATTCCTTTTAAAGTAGGAGAATTTAGACTGTCACTTTACATGACAGTCACAGGAAGAGATAAGACAGACTCAAGAATCCTGAATAATGACACTTAGCATTTCATATCTTCAAAGCACTGCACAGACCTTATCTGATAAACTTCCTTCTCTTCCCAGATAGGAAGGGAGGGAGCTAGTACCCCTTGAGGACAGAGATTAAAGGTCAAATTATCAGTGGAACTTAAATCTCGGTGCATGACCTGAGTATTCATATGGACTGGATTTAATAAAGCTGTAAACAAATCGACCTTCAATATGGTATTAACATGACCCCTGTCTTGTTTTGATAGTCAGAGCTTCTGAGTATCCGACAGCAGAGCTCTGGAGCCCATTAGTCTCACAATAGCAACCAGTTCAATATACCAGGCTGGTTTTGTATAAAGCCACAAAGCTGCTGATCCACATAAAACAAACTGGGATATTTATTTCCCCTTCCACTGCATGTATTGCAGAGAGTAAACAGACACTCCCAAGAAGAAGTTTCCTCATGCTTTTAAAAGGTCTGTAAGAGGATTTCCTGAAGCTGGCTTGTAGCAATCCTCAGTTCCTGCATTTGTTGGCATGACAGTGTTTGTACTACAGCATAGAGAATCTGGTAACAAGCAACTCTCTTCAAGCATGTTTGCCAGGAATAAAAAACCCTGTAGTTTGTACCTGTTTTGAATTATTATCCATGTCAGACAGGGTGCCAAGCTGCTTTGTACTACAAGGCTGATTTTAGTTTGGTCCAGAGGATAGACATTATATATGTATATGTTTAAAATCGTGTTTTATGAAAAATACATCTATGTATTAGATTTTTTTTAATATACAGGGGTGTGTGTGCATGTAAATTTCTTTTAATTTCTCCTATCTTTTCCCTAGAAGCAGTAGTCTAGAAGTGACTTCATCCACTGATCGATAATGAAAACATTGTCCTAAAACTGACAGAAGTGTTTCACCACCCCCAAATAACAAAGTATACACTCCCAATTTCAGCCCCAGTGTCACCAGCTGCATGGAGTTTAGGTTCTTTGCAGGTTCAAAATCTGCAACATCTAACTTGTATTTAAATTCTATGCTTATGATTTATTACTCCAAAGTTGCTCAATTTTACTTCACGATCACCCCAAAAGTCACTCTGAATGGCAGACATTTTTCACAGTGTCTTTGTTTACTCTGTTTTCCGCTAATGCAGAGAGACTAAGTAAAATGTCTTGAAGGCACAGTCAGTCCAGATCAGGAATGCAGCCTGGGCCTTCCAAGGTCCAGCCTTACCCTTCAAATCAGACACTGTTTAGTATGCAGAGCAAAAGTCTTGTTTTTCCATAAGTCTGCTAGTGACGCTGCATAGCCCTACACATAGTCCTTACATGATTAGCTGGACAGAAAAAAACAAACAAACAAAAAACCACCTGTAAGACCCTCCCTCCAGCAAGGCAGCCTTGCCCATGACTAGCTTAGCTAAAAATCAACTCAAAAGCTCTTAAAGGGGACAGATTCCACTAGAGACCTTTCTATTCCTCCCTTCTCCCAAGCAGGTCACAGCGGGAGCTGTTTTGGCCACCTCACATAAGACCAGTGTCTCCGTTAGGTGAAAAGTACAGTTCTCTGGTCACTCTTCACCTGATAAACTTGTGGAACAGTTGAAAAAAAAGGGGAAGAAGGATAGCAAAAATTCTGTTCTCTTTGAATGAAAAAACTCATCCTTGTTCCCCCTGTCCCCTTCCACCTTCCCCTTTCTACAAGTTAACTCCAACATGAACGCATGTTAAATACTTCATCTCTCCTTTGAAAAGAGGACTGATAGAGAAACAAGAATATCATGAGAGCACAGCATATTTCAAGGAAACAGATGTCTGATCCCACTGGCACATCCTCCTACATTCATCATTATCATTTCCCCTCTTTTTACAGCTTTGTCCTTCCAACACATCCATTCCCATACTTCGGGAGCACCTGCTCCAGCTCAGCCCAGCCAAGTTCCAGAAAGGCAGAGAACATACCTGCCTTTCCTCTGTCATCCAGAGGCCAAGAGAACTGCTCTCCTCCCACTCAGAAAGTGGGAGGAATTACCCAAGAAATGAGCAAAGCAGCCTAGTAAGTGAAATTATGAATACCCTGGAACACGTAAGTCACATGGGGCCACGGCCCAGATGCAGGCTGAAAGGAGACAGCACAAAAGCACTAACACTGATACCAATCACAAGAAGCTCCAATGCCAGACAAACCATGATCCCATCAGCAATCAAACACCCTGTGTATTTTGCATGACTGGGACCTGACTCTCAGAGGCAGTTAATAATACACCTCACGCAATACCCACTGCTGCACAGGGACAGAGCCCCAAAAAGCAGGGACGTATGAAAAGCAGTATTCATTTTCTTACCAAAATTCAGTCATGTTGGCTAACACAGACTAGCTTATCAGAAGAACTCTCAAGAGGATAATAAAAGAAGGGGGGAGATATTTGGTCATCATACAGTCCTAAAAGGCCCTCAAGTCATTTATCCCTCTACAGCAAAGGTGGAACTGTTTATAGAATACAGATTCGCTCTACAGCACTTCTCTATGTCAACATATTGCCACCACCCCAGAGTGTGCAGCTCTAACCAAGAACAGGATTTTATCCGGAATGTTTAGAAACAGCCAAATAGGAAAGGGGAACAGATGACACATGGAAGAGCCGTTAAAAAAAAAATAAAATAGCTGCAGTGCTTGGGAAGATAACGTGAGCAACCAATTTCATGTGGGGGACAACCTGCTGGGAAACACTCAGGGAAGGTCAAAATTTTTGCCCTGGCAGGAGCACTGCAGACAAAAGTTTCCTGAATAATTCTCAGTGTCAAATGGGTTCGGCTACCCAGAAACCAAGCACACTTCAATGGCTAAGTGCTGCTTAGAAACAAGGGACGATAGGAAAGATCCAATCTAGCTGAAGGCCTCAAATCAAGTGTTTCACCCAGATACCTAGGGCTGAATTCAGTCTCTCCTACACTACCAAAGGAGACTGTTCCAAGAGACTTTTAATCAGATATATCTTGGACAGTGTCTGATCACACAATATTAAATCATAATGTTAATAAATGTTTGGCCCCACAAATCCAAACAGTCACTGAATTTTAGCACATGTAGCTATTTTGTATCTGTGGAAGACAGCACAGCTCAGAGATAAGAGTCATTTGCTACTTGAGTGTTCAAAATAATCAAGCAAAGACAAGATAATAGTTAAGAAAATTTCTAACATATACTGGCTAAATGAAAGCAAAGTCTCTGATGCATTTACTTTTATGATTAGCTGAAATTCATCCCCAGGGAGTCATTTTGATCATAGTTTAAAATTGACCCTCTTCCTCCTAGGCTCCCATTAGTTTTTGAGAAATTTAAACCTAACACACCAAAACCAGCAATTAAGCAGACAAGTTAGCTATAAAGAATTTCTCATATTACACTGGGCTAGGAGATGGGACCATCATGCAACCACTTTGACACCAGCCTGAATAATAATATTAAATCCTAGTCCCAGGAATGAGCTAAATTCCTGAGATACTGGCTCAGCCCCTTCTTCATTGCCTCCAGTATTTCAAAAGTTCTCAAATCCTGTTTTTGCAAGAAACACAGATCTTCAGATTGATGGTGCTTTTACCCGTTTTTCTTTGGGAAGTGTCTCCGGAAGTAGGAAGAAGATGAAAATTAAATCAGCCACAGCAAACACGAGTGCTAACAATGCCGAATGAAGATAGAAGACTTCTCCTTTCTCTGTCTCCATGGCTAGGTAAGCTCCAATCATGGGACCCAGGGTAAAACCAAGGGAGAAAGCAACGCCAATCATTGCCTGCAGTGATACAATGAACACAGACATGAAGTTTTAGACACCAGTTTGTTCAGGTAGCTCAGTTTTAAAACGATTTTAATTTCCTGGCATTTACCTTAAAGAAACGCAACCAGATACAGAACATAACCACCCTGAGGATGTAGGGAGTGCACAGCAACGAGCGTTAAGTGTGAAAAAACTGTTATTTCCAAATAACTGATTTTATTTTCTGTCTAGTCAGGAAAGTGGCAGGAACAAACTGCAACGTGGTGATGAGCGAAAGGAAGTTGGGAAGGGAAATAACGATTCTCACCTCAGGGACTGCTCGGCCAGCACCATGGTAGGAATTCATAACGAGGTCTATAGCTTCTAAAACACTTTGGCAATTTCTGTATTGAGAAATTTACATCTCATAGAGCAAACAGGCTAAGAGGCTTCCCGGAACAACCTGAATTTAGTGCAGGTACTAAAGAGGATTTATTAACTCACTATGAAACCAGCACGTAGGAAAAGAGGTAGAATCTGTACACACTGGATGGGAGCTTAAAAGAGCACTGACTTGAGTCCTCAGCTCAGTGAGATTGCTTAAGAATACAACAGTGCAGGATCTGGCTCATGGTCTTTAAGAGACATTCAAAGATGTATACTTGCATATGCAAGACCCAAACATGTCATCCCAGGACATGATCCTCCTGCTTTCCTGAGTCTATTTAACTATACCTATAGCACTAAACTAAACAAGGCCAGGGCACACTCAGGTGTCACCTCACAGTCTCCAGTGTTGTTGCAGCCTGCCCAGCTAGCACTCTACCAGGCAATGGCTCATCACAGTTTGGGAATAGCATCAGTCAGATGCTGGTCTCTTCCCAGAAAGCAGAATGAACATGCCTACTCTGCTTTGGAAAAGAAGAGAGTACAGCCATATGGATGTGAGCCATGCTGTACTAAGTGACTTGCTCTCAGGCCCTAAAAATAGGCCCTGACCCATTTTATTTACTAGTGCTGTATGGCTACCCTATCCATAAATAAAAATATATTTTGGCTCACCAGAACTGTAATAAATTGCTTGGAAAATTCATTAGCTAGCACTGTGAAATCTAAAGCTTTCCCCTCCCAAGAAGCAGTTGTCCTGTATAGTGGCTTATAACAATCTGTTAAGAGAAGTTTGGGCCCCCAAGGGTTTTTATAAGATCAAAGATCTAACTCGTAATTCACAGGCAAAGTTCAGCCTGCAGGATGTTTCTATCTGGGCCGCTGCCTTCTGGAAGAGGGCAGGGCAGCTGTTCATACTACTTACTGCTCAGTTAGCCAAATGCCACATCCTTTACCTGCTGAGCTCAAATCCTGAAGTCAGTGCAGCATCCAAGGAAGTCAGGAGGCACACTGTGCTGTGCAGTGCTGCTGCGCTTCCACAGTTTGGGAAGGTGAGGAAAATGGGTTGTCCTGTAACTGGGTTCCAGCTACCGAAACTGGGCCATAAGACCTTTTGATTTCTAAGCTATTATAATCAGGATTACAGTTATCAATAGGAGTAACAGTTAAAACACTTACACAGGCAGTTTTTCCACCTCTAGGGCATCTGCGTTTCACTTGTAGGTAAAAGTCATTGACAAGTAAAGTCTAAGAGCTCACCAGCAAAACGATCTGGCATCTTTGCAGAAGCGAGGTAGTATATGAAATCATGTTTTCACTTGAACAATGAATACACACCCGAGGAAGACATTCTGAGCACCTAAAAATCAATTAAAAGTTACCTAGCAAGCCCAAACATATACCCCCCATGTGTAACTCACCATGCCCTTGCTCCGTGCTTTTGGAGAGTGCAAGTCAGCAATTATAGCTGTGGAGAGGCTGACATTCCCTTTGCTTATTCCACCTACGATCCTGGAGAGAAGAAAAACGCCGAAAGTCCTAGAGGCAGCCCATAGTGCGTATGATGTTATCAAACCCATCTGCAGAAGCAAGAAAGGGTTCTTTATAAAGCAGAGCGAAGTTGGTATTATTTCTGCATACTTCCCAGCTAAACATTTAATTTTTTTTTGTTTGTTTGCTTTCAACAGGTGCTCCAAAACCCACGTAACAGAAATGTCTGAATATACTGATACTGAACTATGTCCTGGACAGCGATATAAAAGAAGTAGGAACAAATCCATACAAACTTCATATAAATGTGAGATTACTAATAAAATTAGAAGAGTAAAGAAAGCTCAGAGGGAGCTAAATCCGTCCTGGGCACAAACCCACTTTTGTACATCCCGCTCCACTTGTTTCCAACTTCAAAAGAATTCTGAGTTCAAAATAAGAAAAATTCACAGTTCTTGCCCTTAAATTTCATAATCAATCATAAGCACACATGCTTATTTAATTCACTCTCCACAAGCCTACAGGATATGGGGATTTGTATATCAGTCGCTGCCAAGTTCCATCATGTATGTACGCACTTGCTCTGCAGCGCTTCTGTAATTAGAACTCCATACTCTGACTAGCAACAGAGAAAACGTTTTGGAGAATGTTCATACGAAATACGTCATACACTGCTATATAGCACTTCCTAACCAACAATCCCCAGGCTCTGTGAAACAGGTCATGAAGCGATCAGCCCTCATTAGTCACTTGGGGAACTAAAATATACAGGGATTAAGTCTAATAGAGCATCTGAAGTCATACTCCCATACACAGGGGAAAGGGATTTTGGAAAATCCCAGAAACAGATAGGTATTTTGGTGCCTTCTATGTTCAGGTCTGGATCTGGGAAGCTCAGCTTAAGCACTCGCATTTGCAAGTGTGGCCAAGCGGCTTGGCAAGAAGCAGCCAACAACCATCAGATCTAGAACGTTGAATTTCCCAATCCTCTGTGCTAACCACAAGACCACAGTGCCTTCAACTGTGTATTGAGATGGCATGACTAAAATCAGTGTGAGACACATACCACTGTCATCAAGATGACAGGCCTTCTGCCCAAGCAGTCTGACACAGCACCAGTGAGGGGAGAGGAAAAAAACTGTAGTATGGAAAAGATTGAGCCAATCAGACCTAAAAAAAAAAAACAAAACACATATATCATTAGACTTGCTGCCTTCATCTTAAATACAAAGACAGCCAACCTGTTCCAGACCTATCACTCCATTATGTCCTTTAAAAGTACGCAATTAAATGTAAAACAACAGCTATAAAGAACAGCTTTGTCTCCGAAACTAAGCGACCCTCAAAACACCTACCTTGCATTGTTATTTAACTGAGGCAGCAAATACAGACCAGATACACAGACAGAACAGAGTAACAGGCATAAACTGGATGATTCACCGGTTACTCCACTGGTGAGAAGGGGTTTGAAACTCACTGGTTATAATGGAATGCTTATTCTCCAATGCTTCCCCAACTGACTACATACATTTTCTGTTCTTAAAGTAGAGATAACACAGTTCTTTAACAGTCCCAGTTCTTTTAAGATTTTTTTGATTGTTTGAACCTGATTCTGTCACACTTAATTAGCTTTTCTTTCCTTCTTATCATGGAAAGAAGCCCATAAGCACTGTTGTTAGTGAGGCACCCTAAGAGGTAGGAGTGATTCCGACAGACTCCAAGAGCCTTTTGAAATCTCCCTCCAGCTTCTGTGATCTTTAATTCCTCTTTTCTCTTGCCATTTCTAGCTTCACACACTTATTAATTTGCACTACACTCTCAACAAGCAGGTGAAAAAAATGCCTTGCTGTCACAGTTTTTCTCTAAAGGAAAAACTGGGTTATACATCTCAGATCATTCAGCTATCAAAGCTTTAAAAGGTAGAGGAGACAGAGACCAGAAGTTCTGCTCCCATCAACTTTGAGGGAAGCAGAATATTGATACTGAACACCTTGGGGAGAACAGCTGCTTATGATAGCTGAAAAGCCCAAAAAACTGTATAAAAAAAATCATAGAATCATAGAATCATAGAATAGTTTGGGTTGGAAGGGACCTCTAAAGGTCATCTAGTCCAACCCCCCTGCCATGGGCAGGGATATCTTCCACTAGACCAGGTTGCTCAGAGCCCCGTCCAGCCTGACCTGGAATGTTTCCAGGGATGGGGCATCCACCACCTCTCTGGGCAACCTGTGCCAGTGTTTCACCATCCTCGTCATAAAAAATTCTTCCTTACATCTAGTCTCAATCTACCCCCCTTTAGTTTAAAGCCATTCCCCCTTGTCCTGTAGCAACAAGCCCTGCTAAAAAGTTTTCCCCCATCTTTCTTATAGGCCCCCTTGAAGTACTGATAGGC